AACACCCCCATCGTTTTTCATGTGGTCATTTTGACCAAAAATGCCTCTCCTTGCTTGTAAAAATCATTCCATTTACCTCCCAGAACACAGATGTCACTTCACCTAACCATGGTTGGCTAAACACACATCTTCCACCCTTCCTGTGTGTCTGGAGGAACTTAGTCAGCTTCTACTCCTTTCCAACAGATCTCTCCTTTTTCCTTCACTGTCAGTCAGTGCAAAGCCAGTCAGACCCATGCTTTATTCACTTTAGAAATACATCTGGGACAACCAGGCATGGTGTCGCCCACCTGTCCTCCCAGCAACTTGGGAGACTGAGGCAGGAGGATCACAAGTCAGGAACTTAGCAAGATCCTGTCTCAAAATTAAAATTAAAAAGGGATGGAGATGTGGCTCAGTGGTTAGACACCCATTACCCAAAGACAAATAAGACCCTGTCTCAAAATAAAAAGCATAAAAGGACTAGAAATGCAGTTCAGTGGTAGCAATTCTTAGTACTGGAGAGAGAGAGAGAGAGAAATATCTAGGACCCTCATACACACATACAGCAGGATGATTATTTTCTATTTATGTATGTATTTCTATGTATGTATGTATTTGTGGTGCTGGGGATAGAAGTTAGGAGGGCCTTGAGCATGCTAAGCATACCATTGAGCTACAAAGTCCCTTTTCTTTTCTCATTTTTAACTTTGCAACAGGGTCTCCCAAAGGTGCTAAAGCTGASMTCAAACTTGCCATCCTCCTGTTTCAGCCTCCTGAATAGATTGGGATTATAAATGTGCCACCATGCACAGTTCTATTTCTTTTTTTGATTGTTGTTGCTGTTTGTTTTATGCAAGGGATTGAACCCAAGAGCATTTAATCACTGAGCCACATCCCCAGCTCTTTTTAAGTTTTATTTTGAGACAGGGTCTCACTCAGTTGCTTAGGACCTCACTAAATTGCTGAGGGTGGCCTTGAATTTGCGATCCTCCTGCCACAGTTGCCACTGGGATTTCAGGCATGCACTACCACACCTGGCTCACTTTTCACTCCAAAAGAACCTTTCAGTGACCTTCCAAACACTTCTATTATACATTTTATTCTTGAAACATAACCTGCATCCACAAGGACAACAGAAAAATATTGCCCTTGGCATTCCTAAGAGATGCAATTCAGAATATATTGTTGGTTTGTTGTTTTTTTTTTTTCCAGTAGACATATGCTGCCCAGTGGGATATGACACTCTCTAGAGGTGGGCTTCACAAAGAAAAATAGGAGGAGATAAGGTCAGAGCAGTTATGCACCAGTCTAGTATGGTAAAACACATTTGCAAGATCAGGGCAAAACTCCTAGCTCCTCATCTGTAGTTTACATTCTGGACAGACACCTCCTTCCAGGAGACAAAGAGCTCTAAGTGAGCACATACCCTGGAATATCTGATCTAAGAGCTTTAACTCTCAGAGGGGGAAAAAAAAMCCCACAAACATCGCACATATTTAAGCAGTGTTAACTTCTGCATTAAAATAAATAAAAAGAAAATTTAATTTCCTTCAGAAAGCAACAGCTAGTGTTCACTACTGGTCAGACAGAAGAAGAAGAAAAAAAAATAGACCATAGTCCAAATATAACTAGAGACCAAATGATGACTGTCATTTTGAAATTATCTTTATCTCCAATTAAAGACTTATATTCCACTTTAATTTTAAAGCTGCTCTCCATGAAACCAAATGCTATGATCTGGATATGGTTATTCGTGTCCCCCAGAGGTTCACGAATTTAAGCTTGCTTCCCCAATGTGGCAATGTGGGAGGGGATGGCGCCTTCTAAAGGTGAAACCTAGTGGGAAGTGGTTGGGAATGCTGCCCTTGGAAGAGATTAATGWGTTCTCTTGAGACTCCAGTTGATTCCCATGAGAGTGACTTGTGAAGGATAAAAGAATAAGACTGACCACACTCTCTGGTTTCCAGTCTCACAATGGGATCTCCCTCTCACATGTGCTCCTGCCATGATGTGATGATGTAACCACGGTGGCCAGTATCATGCTCTTGGACCTTCAAAACTTCAAGAAAACTAAACCTTTTCTTTTTATAAGTTACACAGCTTAGGTATTTTGTCACAGCAATGAAAATGTACTAATATACCAAATTTAAAATATTTTTATACCTTCACCTAAAAAATTAGGGCTAAGTGAGAGAACTTGAAGTTCCTCTTTAAATGCACTGGTTGACAGTCAAGTTAAGAAATGAGGACCTTTAAAATATACTTCCCCACTGACCTGACCTCAATGTCCCCACTTTTTTTTTTGTCTCCCCACAGAGATTGAACCCAGGTGTGCTTTACCACTGTGCCACACCTCCAGCCCTTTTTATTATTTATTTTTGAGAGGGTCTTACCAAATTGCCTGGGGCCTTGTTACACTGCTGAGGCTAACCTTGAGCTTACAATCCTCCTGCCTCTGCCTCCTAAGTTGCTAGTATTACAGACGTGAGCCACTGAGCTCACTGATGGCACTTTTTAAAATAAGTGAAAACCTTTCCACATTCACACGTGTTTTACTTCATGTTATTTTTGTGTGGTGCTGAGGGATGAACCCAGAGCCTCATGCTGGGTAAGGGTTCTACTACTGAGCTATCACTCCCGTCCAGGATTTGTTTTAAATACCTGATAGTTCCCTAGTTATCATTTTGCCTTGGGAGCACCTGGTCAGAAGTAAACACCTTATTCATAGAAGAGAAAAAAAAGGATCTTATAACAAAATTGCAAGGGTCATTTGTATATTACAATCCTCAAGGGGAAAAATCTTCCTCCTCCTTCACCTCTCCCCATACACTCAAACAATAGAGTATTTCTTCTCCAACTACTGTGAAGACATGGCAGTGCTGGGCTTTTTAGCAAGGCCAGAGCTGTTCAAACCCGGAGCACCCCCCACCTCCCAGGCGCGGTGTTCCCTTGGCCTGCTTCCACTCTCCTCCTCCCACCCACCGTTAGCACAATGCCTCTCCAGCCATATGGACCAGATGATGAGTCACCCACCACCCAGAATTCCTTCCTTGACCTTTCCACATTCAATCACCTTTAGCACACTCAACAGGCACGTCCTCCGCAGCGCACAGAGCACATGCCCTGTAACAGAAGGAGTTTCAAGCCGAACACAGGAACCAGCCATTTTTCACACTCCTCCCTTGGCCAAATGGATGGCTTCCAGAGCTTTAAAGAAAAATCACAACTGAAAGTGACCAGATGGGTTTTCAAGGAGAAAGATGCAAACTAAATCAGTTGGGAGACTGACGCACTCTACTAAAAACAGGCCTGCGACGTAAAAGAACTTCAGTTATTCACCCCGAGAGGCACGATGATGGCAAAAGCAAGCACTGAAAGGAGATGCAGAACATTCCATGGCTGTAACTTGACTTTGACTCTGAACAGCTAAATATTTTTAGAACTGTTTTTGAGATTAATACTTCAAGTAGTCACACCCCCCCGCCCCAAAATCCCCCTCCAAAATTCTGGACCTGCACACCAGCCAGCACAAATGATAAAAATGAAGAAAATTTCAAGGCACGAACTGTCTTAACTTAGATCTTTAAATTCACTAAAACCACACAATCATAGGTGATCCTCTCTTAACTTAGATCTTCAAATTCACTAAAACCACACAAGTTCAGTTACAAAACGAAAAGCCCAACAAAGAATTGAAACTATGGAAATGACCGTGAGGTGATGGCAAAGATAGATAGAATTCATCAGCTGTGCCAAATGCTCAGCCAGAAAGTACTGGGGAGCTTGCCTTAGTGAGTTAAAGGCACAGAATCTGCATAAATGACTTTTATGATGATAGCCAAAAGCCTTAAAAAGCCTCAGATGACAATGGAGAACGTCCCAGAGACATAGCACACTATGCCACCCATGACTCCTGTCCATCCTCCCTCCTCAGTCTATTCACCCATGTGGTGCTTCCTTTCCATCCCACTGCCATTGCTTGAATTCAAGCCTAGAATATCCATTAGTCCAGTGATTATAAGGATGTCTTCTCTGGCTTCTAGTTGCCACTCTCCCTCCAGCCCCAGTACTCCATCTCTCCTGCACTGCATGACAGGAGAGAGATCTGATAATGTTATACCCCCTATTTAATAACTCTTCAGTAATCACTATGAAATTCCCAGTCTCACCCTTTTTGTACAGAATCAAAGGTTAGCCTCCTGACTTATTCTGCTGGTAGGTTTAGGAGAATACTAAGCATAGTCATGCTCCTCTTAAATTGTACACATTGACTCTCTGCAAAAAAAAAAAAATTAATTAAATCTGCTTTCCCAATTCATTCAGCTACCTGAGGACATCTAGTAACTCATCCCTCTTTTCATAAAGTTATTCCATATGATTTGCTTAGGAACTAATTCTTTGTACTTCTTTATACAACTGACTCCCCTCCTGGGATATAAGCCCCTTAAGAGCAGGGACAGTTTGTTACTATTTACCAATCATGCTGAAATAAACAAGCTTGAAGATTCCTCTTTAGGAAGAAATACAGAATAGAAGTGCCAGATGGAAAAGTACACACATTGCTAAACTTCTCCCCAAAGGCTGTCCATTTGACACTCAACAGTACTTGTTTCCTATATACTCAGTAAAAGGTTTGCAGATGTTCTGTTAATCCACCAGGTGAAAACTAGTGACTCATGGTTGTGATTTGTGTTGTCCCTGGTAAATGAAAGAACCTTGAATTTAAGATGAGGTATACTTAAGGTGACTGAGTCATGCAAACAGGGCACCATGGAAACTGGAACAATACCAACAATCCCATGAAAGGTTACTTCAAGTCAGGGCTCTCATGAAGGTGGTCTGGAAACGGTGAATTAAGAGGATTCACCACGGTGAATTTCTATGCTGCCAAATGCTGACACTGAATACATGACAAGAGAGTTTAGAGGGAAGAATAGCACTTTCCAATGTATTCAAAATTATACGAGTGTGCAAGGAAACCACAACCAGGAAATCCAGCTCACCCACAGCCCACTCACCATCCAGTAGCCAGTGTTGGCCGCTCCTGAGCTCCAGCTCTGACACCATTAGGCGTGTGATCACGTGATCTGGAACCAAAAGACCTTTCTCCAGGTACTGCCTTGCCATTTCGCCAACTTCTGTTAAAAGATAGTTAAAGAGACACTAAGAAGGCTTCTAGAGGAAGAAAGAGCTTTTGAATTCTGACAATTTCACCTTCTCTCTCACCCACCCTGATATGGAGGGAAAGTTGAAGGTAATTGCTATAGTTTTTTTTTTTTTTAAATCTTGGCTTCAATAATGGCAGTATTGTTGCTTAATTTAACCCATTTGTCTTCTAACAAATTAGAAAAAGCAACTCTTAGAAATAGGCACAGCCAGAAAAAGGAGAAGAAAAAATATGAATTGGCCAAGATTAAAAAAAAAGAGTAGAAAACAAATTTGGAGTGAAGAGAGAGGGTGGTACAAGAAGGTTTAAAAGATGTCCGAGACTTCCCAGAGGTGAGCCACACACTGGACCTCAGGGCTCCCAACAGTTTATGGTAACAAAGACAGATGATCAACCACATGGTGTACGAAGACTGAAAGATGCTGAGAAGCATAACCATTCTTAGAAAGACCAAAGGGAAAATTTTCCACTGGCCCTCAAAAAGATGCTGCACGATGTGTAACACAAACAGGTTTATTTCCTTCCATGAGCCTCAATAAGCAGATGGCACGTTGATGACGCAGTTGTAAAAGCAACTCAGCATTAGTGGGATGCCAAGCTCATAAATGGATGTAAACCTTTAAAAAACCACTTTCAGAGGAAAAACTGCTTCTATCTTAATTTAAAATAACAATTCCGTATATGTAGAAACTGTGGCTTGACTTTGGCAGGGCAAATTATCAGTTGAAATCTGCGTATGTATATTTCTCAGAACTGAATGTTTTTAACAAAAATTAAGTCCTCCAGGGAACTGATAATGAACATTTAAGAATCACATTCTCACAGGCTAATTAAGTTCACAAAGCAGAATTATATCATATATATTACTTTTAATCACCTTGACCCTTTTTGGTAAAAGTAGGGTCAAGGTGATTTAATTTTGGTAGAGCCTTTACTTCTCCCAAGTTAAGCTCTGAAATATATTCAGTAAAGGATTCTAATCACTCAACTGCTACCACTGGACAAGCAGCTTAAAGCAAGGCCATTCAGTCATGCACATTCAGTAACACGCTTCGAGAAGCGGGACCCCAAGACTGCTGTAGAGGAGAAAGTAGCTGAACTGGAATGTTAAGGAGTCACCTTCGTTCAAAAGTATTGTTGATTACATTCTGTGTAACAGGTAATATTCTCAAGATGTAGCTGTGGACAAAAGTTCCAGCTTACTGAAATTGAGACAGTATTACTTGGACTAAAAGCAACAATAACCACCATTAACCTAGTAAACACTATGTCCCAGACACTATGCTTTAGGTACTTTATAGGTGTTATTTCCTTGAATCATGATAAGATATTCACCTTCAGATAGGAGGCAATATTTGTATTTTTGACAGCTTTTTTCAYAAACCATAACATTTCCATTTTAAAGTGTACAGCTTAGTGCCTTTTAATATATTCTCAATGCTGTGTAACATCTTTGTTCCCTAGTTTCAGAACATTTTCACACACTGGGGGAAAAAAACTCCCTACTCATTAGCAGTCACTCCCCTTTGCCCTTCCTCTAGCATGCACCTCCCTCTAAAACTACTAATTTACTTTCTACCTTTATTTGTCTATTGTGAGCATTTCTTATAAATAGAATCATATAATACAGAGTCTTTTGTTTCTGGATTCCTTCACTTAGCATAATATCTTCACAGTTCATACATACCAGCCCATGTTGGGCTAGTATTAGTAGCTCATTCCTTTTTATTGCTGAATAATAGTCCAAAAATATGGCTATGCCACACTTTTTGTTTATAGATATATCCCAATGTGCATTAACTAATGTTTTTACTGTTTTTTCCTTAATGGTACTTGGGATCAAATGAAGGGCCTCATGATGAGGGGTAAAAATGCTACCACTAAGCTACAATCTGAGCCCTTCTACTTTTTGGCTATAATGAATAATGCTCCAGTGAATGTCCATGTACAGGCTTTAATGTGAATACAATACCTGTGTGATATTCACATTCCAAGGCTAAATAATCACTAGCACAGAGGACACAGAGAATAACTGACAAGTTTTGTGCTGTCCTACACTGCAATSGTCAGGCCAGTCCTGTTCTTAGTCCCATCCACTCCAGTTCAAGGGGAACACACATCTGAGGTGAGCAACTAAGGTACACTTTACACTGTTTTCTGGAACTCCAGATCTTACATTGACTATATTGGTTTATTTGTTACTTCACTTTCTGCCTTGACCAACTAGAACAGCTCAATGAGGAAARAATGAAGTATTTTGTTCAATGCCATGTCCTCTGTGCTTAGAATCCACCCTGGCAAGTTTTGGATGTCCATAAAAATTTGATGCATGAATGAATAAATGAACAACCCTGAAGATTATTATTATTATTATTTTTTATCCTGACAAAAATCAATCTGATCTTCCTGGACAGTTATTAAAGAACCATTATCCAAAGATCAAATATGGTCCAACTTTGCCAGATACCAACCTTTTCAGAGGAGATATGAACCAAGCAAAGTGTGATTAGGGACTAGCTGACAGGCGGATGGTTAGGTTTTTTTTTTTTTTTTTGGCCTCTTAGTTGTTTTTTCCCCCCTCGTTCCCAGTGCTGGAAATCAAACCCAGAGCCTCACACATACTAGACAAGGGCTGTATCACTGAGTTACATACAACTCCTGCCAGCAGCCCTGTCTTAATTCTTCAGCATTTCAAAACACAAAGAGAGATTGAGTCAAGTAAAGCAAAGGAGGAAAAGGGAATGCCATGAGTCCCTGGAACTTCAAGCAGTGACAATTGAAAAGCACACCAGTAAGAGATGGGGTTAGATACGGTGGGATACAGAATGTGGACTTTGAAGGACTTTAAGGCAGTTAGCTCAGTTGTAAAGTTCCCCTGGGTTCAATACCAGCACCACTACTCAGCTACCCAATAAATAAATAAATAAATAAATAAATAAATAAATAAATAAATAACAGAAAACTATTGATTAAAGACACACCTACACACCTAGAAACACTTTCTTCAGAAAGGGAGACTATCAGATTTTAAGCAAGCAATATTGTGTGTGTGTGTGTGTGTGTGTGTGTACATATTCATGTGTAGTTTCATCCAATATTAAATATTAGAAAAATCAATGTTCCATCCATTTTACAATATAAATTTTGCAGCAACACCTTAGTAACATCTTCTGTATAACCACTACAAAGATACAAATAGATGTAATCTCCTTGAAAAATAAATTTTCAATTTTTAACTGGATTTTAAATTTTTAACTGGATCAGGTAATACACAAATTTTCAACATTTGAGACTACCTATAAAACTGTACATTTAATAAGAACAAGACTAAAATCTTAAGATAACATAGAACGTAAGATAGTCCATCAAGTTGGTATCTCTCCAGAATTCACACCTCCAAGATTATTTTATTAGCTTCAATTTCTTCATGTTAAAGTTATATGCTTTCATTTTAACAGGCTATAATAAATCGCTGTGTCTGTATAATAAAACACTTGTCACCAGACATGGTGGCACATGCCTGTAATCCCGGTGGCTTGGGAGGCTGAGGCAGGAGGATCGCAAATTCAAAGCCAGCCTCAGCAACTTAGCCAGGCTGTGGGCAACCTAGTGGGACCCTGTCTCAAAATAAAAAATAAAAAATGGCTGGGGATATGGCTCTGTGGTTAAGTGCCCTTGGGTTCAATCTCCAGTAGCAAAAAAAAAGAATAAAAAATTAAAAATAAAATACTGTCACCTGTTGACGGTAGGATCCTGGACGCACACTTATTAAAATTATTCTAAGGGCTGGAGATGTGGCTCAGCGGTAGCGCGCTCGTCTGGCATGCGTGCGGCCTGGGTTCGATCCTCAGCACCACATACCAAAGATGTTGTGTCCGCCGAGAACTAAAAAATAAATATTAAAAAAAATTCTCTCTCTCTCCTCTCTCACTCTCTCTTTAAAAAAAAAAATTATTCTAAGACTGGTTAAAGAGAAAACACCTCTTTCTAAATAACTGAAAGAGCAAACAAGTAGGTGGCATTTCTTTAGGAAAAGCACATACACACTTAGGTGGCATGAAATTCATGGCTGTAGGCCATTCCTTCCAATTCCATTAAACTCCCCAGAGGACCAAATAACTTCCAAACAGAAATACAGAAGGATCCAAAACTCAAGGCTGGTTACTGTCATGAAATAGGGGTTCACTGTTCATATATGGTAAACTACATAACTGGAGAATATAGGGTATGGTTAGTTTTATGGTTTAAATACTCTTTGAATCTGCCTAAATACTCATTCAGGTGGTACCTGTTAAGTTATCAGGCCCTATACCAGTGTAGTATAAGGTCTGTCCCAAAGCCTCGAGCCAAAACATTGGAACTGCCAACCCACCAAAATCTCAATAGCAAAACTTGATGGAATTTTACTGTGTTAAGTAGAAAAAACAGTACAATTAAGTTGCAAGAGGCTCTACATTGCCAGTCAAGTTTCATGTAAATACCTTATGATACAGAAATAGGTTATTAGTCACAAACTAAATAAAGGCATGACCACTGAAGCATTATGTCCCTACAATATTAGTCCAGTTACATAAGGCCACCCAGGCTCCCTCAGTCTCTTGACCCTGATCACTCAAAGATTTGTTTTACTAAAGATAGGGATCAAAACCTCAAACAATGGGCTGGGGATGTGGCTCAAGCAGTAGCGTGCTCGCCTGGCATGCATGCAGCCCGGGTTCGATCCTCAGCACCACATACCAACAAAGATGTTGTGTTGCCGAGAACTAAAAAATAAATATTAAAAAAATTCTCTCACTCTCTTTAAAAAAAAAAAAAAGATAAAACCTCAAACAAGTCCATAGTAATCAGGCAAAATACATTAACTAGAATGGAAGCCTCTTGGGATCAAATGCTATTAACATTTAAGCGAGGTTTTTAAATTTTGTTTGAATATTTATCTGACTTATCTCTCCCTTTATATTTTTCAATAAC